CTTGACTCCATTTTCAAAACTGGCCTCAGAGTTCCATTTTTCTCAGAAATGTCAGTAATAAATACTGCAATTCAGAGCCCAGCAGCCAAAATTATAGAAAGACATCTGATTAGATTTTCTGTTCTTCTGTAAAAATGACTTAAAAAATAAAACATCAGCAGCTCAGCATCATATAGAACATCTTTAAATTTCTCAATGTGAATTAAAGTCAATATAAGATTGAAACTGATGAGTTACTGTAAAACATTAGGGAACTTGGGCAGAATGCTCCAACACAATTGCCAAGCTGAAAGAAAAAGGAAAAGCTACTGTACATCAGAAATTTCATCTTTTTATATCCTTTAGTAACAAACGAGTCTAAGTTTTCTCTGTTCCAGTGTTTTTCAATTTGAACTTTTAAAATATATGGACTTAAAATCCCCAAATTTCTTCAGGCAATATGGTAAGGAATTCTGAGAGTTGAAGTCCATGCATCTTAAAGTTGCCAAATTTGAGAAACACACTCTATTCAAATATCTATCCTTTGACTGTGACTGATTTACACATAGTTATATGAATCCTTTGTTTTCAGTTTGCCATAAGTGAACTCCTGCTTTACTTAGTGTTAAATGTATGACTCAACACTAAGCCTTAATCCTATAAAACAAGTAACAATCCAATGTCCTCTGTTTCTGGGAACTGGAAATAATGGTTTCCCCAAAATAAGACCTACCCTGAAAATAAGCCCTAGTTTGATTTTTAAGCATGCCTAATCCAAGCCCTACCCAAAAATGAAACCTAGTGAAGATCATCATCAACTAGGGAGTGGGTGAGCATGGCCAGCACCAGAAGAGGAGGGGGTGGGGGCCAATAGTGTCCGCAGCCTGCACAGTGCAAATGAGTTGATTACCTGTCCAAGCAGCAGGCGGAGGCAGAGGCAGGGAAAGGCAGGTGATCTGGACATGCCACATGGGCTATGGGAAAGCAGAGTGCCAATAGGCCATAGTAGGTGGGTGGCTGCAGGCGGCTGTCTTCACATGGCGGCACTGGAAGAAGATGGAGAAGGGGAAGGGGAAGGGGAAGGGGAAGAAGGAAGAAGATGGAGAAGGGGAAGAAGGCAGGCAATCCCAACGTTCTGCATAGGCCACAGGCAAGCCTGAGAGACACAAAGGCAAGTCTCCCATGGCCGGCTGCCTACTCCTTCCCACCATCTCTTGGCTTGCCTATGGCCCATGCAGTGCATCCATGTTGCGTGCCTCCTCCCCCACACCTCTGCCTCTTTCTGCTGCCTACTGCTTCCCACCATCTCTTGGCTTGCCTACGGCCCATGCAGTTCATCCATGTTGCGTGCCTCCTCCCCCATGCCTTTGCCTCTTTCTGCTGCCAGTGTCATGGCTGAGCCTCCCATGGCTGTCTGTCTGCTCTGACCCAACAACTCTCATCTTTCCCACAGCCTGTGTGGCACATCTCGATTGCATGCCTTCCCCCCCCCGCCTCTGCTACTGCCTGCTGCTTGGACAGGTAATCAACTTACCTATGTTATGCAAGCTGCACAACCCCAAAGTGTGCTAACCAAGTGGCCAGCAGGCTGTAGCTGCTGCCGGACATTGGCACCCGTGCATTCTCTGTCTTTTATATGTGTGCCAGGGTGGGTGGGGTGCCCAGCTCAGCTGATCACCCTGAAATCATGTTTCCCTGAAAATAAGCCCTAGTGCTTATTTTGGAGGACCCCCCCCAACAAAATTTAAGGCCCGGTCTTATTTTCAGGGAAACACAGGTAGCAAAATCATTAAAACATAGGGATGTGGATTTAATGATTTATTGGAAATGCAGTTTTCCAGAATAAAATATTTTTGTTCTTAAATTATGTCCAGAAAGATATTCCAAGTACTGTATGTGTTGAGAATCAAAAATGGTATTAATTAATGGGATGTTCAGAATGATTTAAAAAAAACACCTTATCATAGTCATTTTTTTAATGAATGACATCTCCAGTTTAATGACAGCAATATTAGAACCAAATATTTATATCCAAAAAACACCTGGAGCAATTCCAAGTTAGACCAGAAAAAAATTAACAGCATGAAGAAGATATGTGTAATTAGTGTTAATACAGTGAAGAAAATAAAGACATCAGTCATTAACCAACTTTTTTTTTTCATATTGCTCTTCTCTGTACTAATTCAGAAACCTGTTTCAAACAGCTGCCAGGATATATATTTTTTTAATTTGATTTATATGCTGCCCTTCTCCGGAGACTCAGGGCGGCTTACAATGCGCTAAGCAATAGCCTTCATCCTTTTGTATATTTATACAAAGTCAGCTTATTGCCCCCACAAACTGGGTCCTCAATTTACCTACCTTAGAAAGGATGGAAGGCTGAGTCAACCTTGAGCCTGGCGAGATTCGAACCTGCAGTAATTGCAGGCAGCTGGTCTTAATAACAGGGTGCTTTAGACCACTGTACTACCAAGGCTCTATTTTGTGCGACTGATGAAATGGTTAAAAGAAGACACAAGTAATTATTGCAAAGATACAATTGATTCCTCTTGAAATCTTTACATACAAATATAACTGAAGGCTTTTTGTGGTACTTTATCTTAAAGCTTTCTACAACATGAGATAAACAGAGCACCTTTCATCATGTTATTGTAGAAACAAATTTCAATTAAATACAGTATCTGAACAGTGGAAACAAGTTTTTTTTAAATGTAGTTTTAATGCACTTTTCCTTAAAATCACATAAGGATTTGACCCAAATAATTAAGACCATCACGTAGATTTAGCCAATAGTTGCCCCTATAGGTTCTACAGCTCAAATGCTGTGTAGCAAAGATCCTTAATCCCATGAGCCACAAATGGACATGTTCCCTCCCCCCTTTTTTTATATCCCATAGAGTTCTGCAGACCACACTTCTGAAGTCCAAAGGCACCCTGAAAAGCAATGATTTGTTCCTAAAACAGAAAGCTTATGGTTCTGACAGGGGTGAAATGCTACTGGTTTGCTCTGGTTCAGGCAAACTAGTAGTAAAAAAATGCTTTAAAAAGTTTTTTAAAAAAGTTCCGATGATCGTGCGGCACACCTGTGATCGTCGGAACCTTTTTAAAACTTTTTTTAAAACATCTTTTTTAATACTGGTTTGGGCGAATAGGTAGTAAAAATGCTTTAAAAAGTTAAAAAAAAAAGTTGGCCCCGGCCATCCAGTCACATGACACGCCCCCTCCAGCCATGCCCACCAAGCCACACCCACAGAACCAGCAGCAAAAAATTTTGCATTTCACCACTAGTTTCTATCCCCACAACAATGAATAGGCAAAATATTAACAGCTACACTTTTTTATATTGTCATTCTCTTACTATCCACTCTTTATAATTGTTCACTACTGGAAAAATACATTTTAAAAGTGCAACTTTTGACTGCCAAAAAATTGAATTTAAAGAATTTAAATAGCCTTTTGAATTTAAAGAATTTGATAGCTTATGTACATCGCATTACTTTGGAGGAAAAGTTAGATTTTTATTTCCCATCAGCAGATTTTAATCTATTTGATCAAATAAAGTTTTTTCCTTACAAAATATAAATCCTAAGACTCCATGAACACCTGAACTAATTGTTAGGGCAATGTTTCATTTTGGAAATAACTGTGAAGAGTAAATTTTGAGACATATGGAAATGGGAACTTGCTTGCAACTCTTTAAAATGCATATCTGGTCCTAGCATGGGACTAGATGTGGTCTTATCTGCAACAAGATCTTGGGTGATATAGCTGCCTTAGCTGCAACAAGATCTTGGGAGATATAGTTGCAGACAACTGTGGCAGTCACACTCCCATGTGCTCCAAGGTTACTTTTCTGGAATTGAAACTAAAGTTTTACCCAGCCTTTGTTTGCTTCTTTGAATCCTGCTCTGCAACTTTAACCTCTGCTCTGCTGTTTAACCAGAAGGGTTAAAATAATTAAGAACCATTAAACATCAGCATGCTACACCAAAAATTGACCGTGTTTACATAGTTTTTCATTACATAACTAGTGGGTAATGTTTTCATACATTTTTGTATACAACTTTTTTTTTTGATACAAAAATGCTTTTTGACAGTTATTTAAAAATAATTTTATACTTAAATGTTCCTTTTAAAAATTATTCTGGAGTTTAGCAGGTTTGGATTTGCAGAGATATTGCATTTATCTGCTTGCTAGCTGTTTCCAGTTATGAATTACTCTATATTTAAGACTAATTTCTATTATTTATTTCTATTTCTATTTATTTTCTCTTCTATTTCTAATTTCTATCATTCATTTACATTGTTGTAATTATTTCAGGGTGATGCTTTTAAAAAATATTCGTATTCAATGCAAATAATTCTAATGAATATTAAGTTTAAGATTGGTTAAAAACTCAAGCATGAAATGAAAATTTATGAATGCAATGTTGTTAACAAAGAAAACTCTTTTCATTACTCAGGGGCCTTCTTAAGCATCATCTTATAACATAGAAAGAGGCTGTCACAAGCCTCTTGCAACTACTGTCAAATGCTGCTCAGTAGGTGGCATCATCTGGCCAGGTTCTAAAGCTAACTAAGTTTATGCTTGGTTAGAATGTGGATGTGTAATCACCAAGGAAAACAGCAAGGTTGTAGCCCAGCCTTGGAAGATAAAAACATCCTAAAAAAGGCAGTGGTAAGCTGTTTCCATAGTATTGCCACAAAAACTACATAGTTTTGTTCCAGGTTGTCACTACTAATTGACTCAAAGCTGCCTTTACCTTCAAGGACAGGTAAAAAGATTTCATGAGCACAATCAGGACTTGCATTTCTTAAGTAAAGTTTAGCCAAATAGGCTAGTGCAATAATCTCAACCAAATAATCAAGTATGATTTAAAATGATGAATGGGAATTTCTGAATAACAAATTCCAATCTTACTCAACTTCTGCTGAGAGGTGTGACCAAAAGCATTTAAACAGATTCAAAAATAAGACTAAAATTTCATATAAGCCTTTGGGAGTATGTATGTGACAAAATATCATGATCTGTGTTGATTTTATTTTGTCCAATAATTTCCAGATTGGTAACATGAAGGATTTGATTGTTACTCTGAAAAAGCACCATGATTACAAAGTTTGTTTTAATCGTCCTTTTCTACAATCACTTCTCCGTGAAGCACTTTCCTTCTTTGACGTAGCATGTGAAAGTACAGTTGTGGAAACACTAAAAAAAAAGCCAAAAATAAAACAAGTTAGACTATGTTAAAATAAAATGTGCAAACTTCAGTGCACTGAACTGATAGAATATGGAACTGAATCTTGGATTAGTAAATTGGCTAGAATGATCCAAATCTGAAAGTCCAAGATTGTTTTTAGCTTATTGTGTATTAGTCTTTGATAAGGTTTTATTACTATTTCAAAATGATAATTTTGAATATATTTATTAATAATTCAATTAATAACACTTGATAGTATTTCACTAGATAGTTATTTCAATATATCACGTTGAGCATTTGGGAAGACAATAACTTCATATTCCTGATTTATAGTGAAGACATGCTGGGAAGGAATTCTAGGTTTTGCAAATCTAGTACATCTGGAACATCTGAAATATACTACTGATCAATCTAGTGCAGTTTTGTCTACTCCTACTCTACATCTGAAATGTATCACTGGTCTATCTAGTGCAGTTTTGCCTACTCTGGTAAATAGCAGCTCTTCATGGTCTCTGGCTCACTAAAAATTTTTCCAGGCTAATCAAAATCCTTTTTAATTCTAGATATCACACCTAAGAAGTTATGATGTCTGACATAATTTCACTGGACACTCATGTTTTATTATTAAGCGGAAGTTAATTTCAAATGAGTATAACATTCATAGCATTTTTTTAAAAGTAGCTCTATACAACAAAAACAATTATTTCTATATATATATATATATTCATTGAAACTTACATGGTATATAAGAGGCCATGATGATGAGCAGAAAATAGTAGTAGTCAAAAGATACATTGTATTTGTTAGGAAGTCTCACTGAAAACATGCCTGATCTCTTTACATAGGGTAATGCTGCATATATTGTTAGAAGCTCACCAACAACTCCTACTGGATATAGGATGATGAAAAAATTGTACCTGGAAGAAACAGCAGATAAACTGCTTGTCTTCTGCTTTGTAATACACAACTAGCAAATGAAAGATCAACCGAAAGTCTATGTGCATTTATCTAAAATAAGTTCAGCGTAGGATGGTTTGTCATGTGAAAAATATATTTGTATCCAGCATAATGTAGTGTTCTAAATATTGCTTTAAATATATATGTATTCTGGTGGGCAAGCCATCAACAGAGTATCTTTTTCCGGTATCCATGTTATTTTGAAGTCCTGCCTGAAAACCTGCTCATAGGGAAATCAGTGGGGAAGGGTCTTGCGATCATCAACTAAAGTGTCCTGGATTTTTTTTTTCCCTTTTAGGGTTAGATTCTAGGTAAAAAGGAATCATTTCACCCAGTTCCAATCACTGTTCATCTACACCGCTCCTGCACTTTCTTTGTTGCCTTGGCTGTCCCAGCTTCTCAGCAGCCATAATGGCTGCCTCTTCTCCCCGGCGTGAATGAGAGGGAAGAAAGCCCTGGATCAAGTGGGAGAGTTGTGACTCACCGTGACCTGCAGGGCGCCCCTCTTTTCTTCACCACCCCTACAGGGTGGCTTTAGCTGTTTTTGGAACTGTCCAATGGGGAGAACTCGGTGTGGGACCACGGATACCCATTCCTTGTATTCGATCTCGTTGCGACGCCAGTCAGAAGTCTTCAACTAAAGTGTCATGCTTGCATGTGAGGAACTGCCTTAACCCACTGGGAATAACCTGTCTCACTCATTCCAGCAAAAAGGACTCCATCAGTCAAAGGATTTTAGCTAGAGGGATCCAGAAGAAGAGCCTTTTCTACTTTAGTCTCCATCATCTGGAATATGCATTGCCACTTGGGCCAGGTCTTACACCCCTGCCTTCTGGAAATGCATTGCCACTTGGCCTGGGGTCATGACTGGGGCCTACAATATTGGGAGCAGCTGATGAGATAGAAAAAATTCTTTCCCTTCAAGCTTCCCATCATGTTGGTTTTTAATTTTATTTTTAAACTTTTTATTCTATTTTAATTGTTTTTGCACTTAACTTTTATTATATTGTAAACTGCCCAGAGTTGCTGTATTAATGAGATGGGCAGCCTAGGAATCCAATAAATAAATAAAAAATGTGGATGCTCATAAAATGACATGACTTCAATCACACAGCTATGGCTATCATTTTCATTCTCCCTTATAGGGAGATACCCCTGCTTACTTGAAATATAACTGCATAAAGGCAATGGTAAAGATTTCTCATGTCCAATCATGTCTGATTCTAGGGAGTGGTGCCCATCTCCATTTCTTAATGGAGCCAGTGTTATCTGAAGACATTTCCATGGTTATGTGGCCAGCATGACTATATGTTGAAATGCATGGAACGCTGTTACAGTCCCACTGAAGGGCATACTGTAATAATGTACTAACTATCTACTCAGAAATAGGCTTTATAAATTCAGCAGATCTATAAGAGTTTTACTGAATCTTTATATCAGATAGAAAACTTTTTATTCTCACCAATAAGAGATTTTAAAGATTCATATTCATAATCTAAAATGTTCTAAAATTTATTGCTGCTATATTTTTTCCTTATTTACTTATATATATTTTTGTTAATTTATTCATTATCTTTTTTTCCTATAAGAACCTGAGGTCTTAGATTAGAGTGACACTTATAAATTTAACTTGGAGGATATACTCTAATGGTTTAGGATGGCATTAAAAATGCTAGGTTGAATGTTTTAAAAATGAACTAAGGAACAGCAGTCAAGCAATCCCCATAGCCATTTCTTATAGGCAACTATTGATGTTATATGGATAAAAGCTCACAACTAAAGAAATAGCATCTTGGGAAATGCTAGGATGAATTTTTTAAAAAATGAAAGACCAGCTGCTTTGAAAAGCACTGCCTTATTTACTTGTTGTCAAGTCACACACTGAAAACTTTCAAAAGGATATGAAAATACTTGAAGAGTTTTCATGCAAGATACAGCATGCAAATGTATTCTCCATAAAATAAAACCTCTCTTCAACTCATGCTGGAAAAAGCAAGGAGACAGTTACAAAAACTGCACAAAGGGCATTCCATGAGGAAAATAGTTAAGATTTAAAGCAGCAGCCCCAGAACCTGAAAACTACATTAAGATTTAATAGACTTAGAGAATATATAGGTCAACTGGAATGGAATGAATGGGAATCAACAAGAGGCCCAAAAATGCCTTGAAGGAGAAACCAATTAATGCAACTAACTATAAAAACTGCAAATCAATAAAGTGTAGGTTAAAATCATACCTAAGCAAAAATAAAAATTGCAAAACCAAAATTTGATAATTTAAACCAAAAAGTCATTGAACCAAAAAGTCTTTTTATACCCACTTAGAAAAAGTCAAGTGGAAAAGTTCAGATTAGGGCTATCATTTTCGTTTCACAAAAGAATGGCTGCCATCTAATTGTCATATGGATTTTTGCAATTCTATTTTAAATTATAGTTGTCTTTGTTCTGTGATATTCAGACAACTTGAAGAATTTCTAATTTACACTCAGAAGAGCTCAGTGTTTGACTATTATTGTCATTATGCATTTTATTAAGTTTCAAAAAAATATTTGGTTAATGAACTACTCTGGTGCTATTGTATGTGTTACCTTCTTCTGAAAAATAATATGCAAATTGTTTTAGCCTTTACATGTCTGTAACCCTGTAAATCAGGTTTAGAATTTAAATTCTGTATGCTCACAAGGAACTTTCCAGCAAAACAATATTTATTTCTACAACGAAAGATATTTGTGGGGGAGAAAAATCAGCAAAGTGGTCTTTTAACTCCAATGAAATGTTTGAAAATTTAAATTGCTAATTTACTGGCATTCTTATTTAGCACTGTTTATAATTTATTGCTAGTTACTGCCATTTATGTAGTATTGTAATGATGTATAGCAATATTAACATTTAACTGAACACGTAGTACAGCTTGATGGAAAATGATCCTATCTTACTGAAGAGACCCAAGTTCAATTTTCTATTCAGCTTGGAATTCATGAAATTCAATTAATTTTATGTTAGTTAAAATAAACACCTGATTTACCTTGAGAAGAAAAAAATTGCCCCAAATGTTAATTGTGTAGACCTTTGCAAAATATACAATTATGATTGACTCTCCAAAGTGAAAAACACTTTTACTGGATGGACATAAAAAGCAACATACTAATCACTATCATGATGTCCAGAGCCTCAGTTTCAGTCCATATACCGTATTTTCCGGCGTATAAGACGACTGGGCGTATAAGACGACCCCCAACTTTTCCTGTTAAAATATAGGGTTTGGGCTATACTCGCCATATAAGACTGCCCCTCTTCCAATGCACACCAAATAAAAATTAAAAAACATCAACTGGCTCACCTACAATGTAAAAGCAGCTGTGCTAGACCCAAAATGGCCCCTGTAACAAGCAGGAACCTCACACAGCCACAAAAAGTCCAAAAAACCAACTTTCACACTTTACACACACAAAATTCCACATACAGCTTTGTGAGATTTTGTGTGTTTGTGTAGTTGGAGTGAAACACTACAGAAACACACTAAATCTCAGAAAGCTGCACAAATATTGTTTTATTTTATTTTATTTTTATTTTTATATAAAAGCTAAATTTAAAACTTCCTAAACTTTAAATGGCTAGGTCTAAAAAAGAACAACTAAAAAAACCCCAATTGACTATTTTTTTTAAAGCTCCCAAAGGGGAAAAAAACTTACCCAATAGAACAGGGGTCTCCAACCTTGGCAACTTTAAGACTTGTAGACTTCAACTCCCAGAATTCCTCAGCCAGGTTTGCTTTGCTGGCTGAGGAATTCTGGGAGTTGAAGTCCACAACTAACTCCTTGCTTGATTGCAGGCAGGGAGTTGCTTGTTGCCTGAATAGATTCAGGCAAGCAAAGCAAGGCAAGCGTTGCGACTAGCAGCTGAGGTAAGCAAGCTGGAGGGGGGAAACTTTTTCCCTTTTACGTGGTTTCTGGCGATCCCAGCTGAGTTGCAGGGAACTCAGCTGGGATCGTCAGAGCTGGGATCCTCAGAGTAAAAAGGAAAAAACTTTTTTCCTTTTACGTGGTTTCTGGCGATCCCAGCTGAGTTGCAGGGAACTCAGCTGGGATCGTCAGAGCTGAGATCCTCAGAGTAAAAGGGAAAAAACTTTTTTCCTTTTACGTGGTTTCTGGCGATCCCAGCTGAGTTGCAGGGAACTCAGCTGGGATTGTCAGAGCTGGGATCGCCAGAGCCATTTAAGGCTCGTCAGAGCCTTTCGGGCTGGTCTGCCTGGTTACAGGAGAACTACACCCGGCGTATAAGACGACCCCCGACTTTTGAGAAGATTTTCATGTGTTAAAAAGTCGTCTTATACGCCGGAAAATACGGTACTCTGTGAAAACCAATATGGCTACAACAACTAGCCATTGAAGGAGAAATTACCTGGAAGAAAAGCTCACGTTGAATATGAATAGAATATTTGAAATTTAATTTGTCTAATAAATAATTTTCTAATATTTTAGATATGACATGCCTTTCCAGAAACCATACCGTACGTATTTCTATTTACCTTCTTTTACATTTAATTCCAGCAAAATAATGGCCCCAAATGGCAGAACAGAAAGCTTCTTACAAATTTTATAATAAGTAACATTTTGCATTACAATATGCAAAAATGGAGGACACCTTAAATGGTACACTGACTATCTAATAAGAATCAGGAAATATACAATTTGTATGAGAAAGCCAGTTAAGTGTAGTGATTAAGGCGCTGACCTAAAAACCAGGAGACTGGAGTTCTAGTCTTCACTTAAAGATGAAAGCCAGCTGGGTGACCTTGGGCCAGTTATTCTCTCTCAGACTAACCTTGTTGTTGTTGTATGGAAAACAGGAGGAGGTATTTATAAAAAATTATAAATGTGGGATAAAAATCTAATAAGGAAATTAAAACAAATTCAATATTCAGTCTTTTCAAAAGACACACACAAGCACACCTTAGATATATTAATGGCATAAGCAAAGAGAAAGTTAACGAAAAGTTACAGAATTCTGCTTTTAGAATACATCCAGTTCTAAGAATTTACAGTGTGTTTCAAGCACATCAAATCACTTTATAGACATACACGGAAAACTCTCAAAGCAAATTTCTTCCTTGCTGATTAGGCATGCATGAAAAGCATGCCCAGAACAATAAGAAACTAAACTGCAAGGCATTCTCCACCTGGCCCATTTTATGAAGTATGGCAAATGGTTGAGCATATTGAATGTGTAGAAGGAATATCGAGTAATCTCAGTCACAGTCCAAACAACCAGAAAAAGAATAACACTCTCCTCATTCTGGATCTGTGGAAGTATAAAGAGCCAACGTTTCCTTGAATCCTTAGAATCGCAACAGACTCTCAGATAATTCACCAAAGTCAATATAGTTTAGGATGAATATAGACGTGGTCTATATTTTAGTCTAATTGAATAGGTTACTATTAAACAGAAAAAGATGTAGAAGCAAAGAAATGATATGTACTATAACATTTTTCTTAATTTTAAAACTAGCCATTCTCTTCTGTTTCTAGCATCCTTTTTAAAGATGATGCCTATATCATTTATATTTGGCCCCATAAGCACTATCTCCATCACCCTCCCCCAACCTGGTGCTCTCCAGCTGTAATGGAATTCTAAAACTCAGAATCTCAAGTAAAAAATGCCCAAGCTAGGTGGGGAATTCTGAATATTGAAATCCTACATATCTGGGGAGCAATAGGTTAAAGACTGTATGTAGTTTCTCATAAGCAACTTCTTTAGAATTCCATCACAAGTACATGTAGGGGTGCAAAACTATTCAGATAACTGGCAAAAAAAATATATTATTTTTTACAAAGATTGTATTGGTTCAAGTTTTGAGGGATTCTTTGGCAGAACACCCTTGATTCATAAAAGAAAAAAACAAACAAATTAAAAATTCTTGCACGTGTTTCAAAATAAAATGTTAACACTACTACAATGAAGAACTTTTTTTGCTGTTCTTAGGCAGATGGAGAAAAATCCTTAGTCATTTCACTGTCTCAAGAGCTTGTATTGATCTAGCCATTCTTTTATGATGATATCAGCATCCATGGTGGATTAAATTAATGCCCAGATTTACAAAATAAGATCTATTGATTAACTTCTGAGGATCATTATAGACAAGTAATTTTCCTTTTATTAAAATAGGAAGAATTTTGTAATAGATCTTCTTATTCTGAGAAATAAAATAAAATAAAAATAAAAGTTCAAAATTGTTGTTTTTAAGAGAAAAGAGGACCTTGAATACTTCCAGCTAATGCACTACAATGACTAATACAAAGATCGTATATTAGTTTTAAGAATATCAATTAAGAATATCATTAATAAATGCATTCAATTTTTTTCTCTAGAAGTATTTAAGTAATAGGAATATTTTAACTTAAAATATTAACTTCTGTACGAACGTTGTGATATTTGCACTTACTCTTTGGTTTCTGGGAGTGGGGGGACTAAATGCTTATAAACAATGCAAACTGGTTAAGGTATGAAGAAAGGATAAGAGAAATCAAATAACTTTTTAACTTTTCTTTCTAATTTAAGGAAAACAATAAACAACAATATTGCGAAGACCTTCATATTAAGGTAGAAACCTTTATTATATATAAAATAATTTAAGCATTTTGCAATTGTTTATCAAAGCTCTGGGTATAAAATATAAGCAATCTTATGCTTATTATGCAATTATTTAGAAAACACATTAAACTTTTTTTCTCTTTATCTTTAAAGTTATATAAATCATCAGTGTTAATAATCTCTAGTGAACACTTTGTAAATACCATTATTATACCCATACAGAGACTCTTCCCATCCTGCTTACAATCTTTTTGGACTGTATCTTCTGGCAGAAAATACAAAACAATTAAAACTTGTACCACACGTTTTCTGAATAGTTTTTATCCCAGAGCTATAATTGCACTCAACAATGAACTAAATGGCCACCATCACTGAGCTCTTGGACAGCATTACTTGGTCTGTTGTGTGGATGTTTGGGTGGTTCAGTGGTGGGGAATTTGTGGTGGGTGGGGGTGTGTTTGGGGATTGTTATGTGTGTTGGACCTGGTCTTTGGGTATTAAGTGAATTTCGTTGTATGGGTATACTGTGTATATACATACAATGACAATAAAGTTGTTGTTGTTGTTATTGTGGTTGTTGTTGTTGTTGTTGTTGTTGTTATTATTACATAAGTTACTACTTGTGTTTTAGAATAATACACTAAAACAATATTTTTAATTTCTGTATCTTGATTTATTGCTATAGAAAATCAAGTGTGAGATTACCACACATTTAGATTTTCAAATTTTGAAACCTGAATTCTTGTTTTTCATATGGCATAGTATAATTTAATTTATGCATTATAAATCAGAAAGCTTCATAGCCTTTTTGTTGTTGCTAATAATATTATCATCCTATAGTTATTTTTAAACTTCTTTTTCCTGGTTGGATAGCCTTTTACAAATAGTCCTTGATTTATAGCCATTCATTAAGTGACCATCTGAAGTTACAACAGCACTGAAAAAAGAGATTTACGACAGCTTTTCACATTTATGACTCTTACAGCATCTCCATGGTCACATGATCAAAATGTGGACACTTGGCAACTGGCATATAACAATTTTACTATACCGGAGTCATGTTATCATCGTTTGTAGTCTTCCCAGCCAGCTTCCAACAAGCAACGTCAACAGTCTTGCTTAATGACCACATGGTTTATTTAATAACCACAGTGATTCACTTAATAACTATGGCAAAACTCACTTAACAACTGCCTAGCTTAGCAATGGAAATCTGGGGTTCAATTATGGTTTTAAGTCGAGAACTAGCTGTAGTATTTCCTGTCCTGTCAGCCGCCCCCCCCCCCCCCCCGACAACACTATATTGGCTCTAGCATTCTCCTGGAATCAATGTATTTTTTTTACATTTTTCTTTCTGAGAAACATAAACCTAACATGATCAATATCTTAAAAATTAGGTGATACCTTCTATTGATGCTGAAAAAGTATATATATATATATTGGCCTGTGGGCCGGGAATTTGACACCCTGATCTCGTTTAATAAAAAATAAACTTTCAAGTACCATAGGAAGAGAAAAAAAACCACATGAATTTTAATCAGTGGGAAGAGGCTATTCCTACTTACTTTCTCACATAAGGAAATCACTAAGTGCCATCTGCTGGTGAGAGATCCAACTGTTTCAAAGTGCATAGGGGTATACAAAAACAAACCAGCTTTATGTGAGCAAAAGTTCTAAAATCTAAGATCCGTTGTGATTCATAGTAATCACAATCAATTTAGTAAAAATTCCTAAATGCAAAGATTTATCCGACAGGCTATGAAATAGCATAAAACACTGTTTAACTTATTATAATAAAATCTGCACCCCATGCAACAAAAATGATATAAGGCAGTTATGAATATATAGTTAACCAGACTTTTTTTCCTCACTTTTTTGTGCAATAAGAAATGATCTTCTGGCATATGCATTTAAGACTGGCATTTCCATGTCTGTCTAAAGAGAACTTCAACTGAGGAGAATTACATTCTTGATTTGAAATATTTACTCACCGGATTAATAACTATACCAATAATCTCTTTGTCGTGTATCAGAACAGAAGGAAGCTACAAACTGTTAAATACAATTGAAATTAACGGGACATTGAGGGACTAGGCTCCATTCTTCTGTTTACTTCTATTTTTCAGGAAGTCGAAAGCATAGCTATACTACTTAATGCATAAAAATTGCTCTTAGGATGTATATCTAAAAATTCAGCTGCCTAAAACTGCACATTTCTCCTCAAAAAATTATCCAATTTCAGTTTATAGTATGCATTGCAAGAACGGGTACTTTTTCAGGGTTATTTTAATATGCAACACTTTACTATTGGAATGGCAAAACATAAAAGTCGTATATCTAACCTCAGTGGTCTTTACAACCTCTTCACCCATATGTAATTACTAGGACTTTTTCATTTCACCTTATAGATCTGTGCATTTCAGTCTTTCTTAGACTGCTGACAATAGGTCTATACTAACTTATATTTTAAAATTTTTCAATGTATCTCTAAATGTTTAACTGTTTCAGTGATACCAAGATATTATGGACTGAACGATGCAATGTTCATTTGGCTGCTTACCTGTTTTATACTATGTGTAACAAACCACACCATGAAGATTCTGGAACTCACTTGGACCCCCGTCACAAGCACAGAAGTGTGCACTACTCCTTAAAAAGAGAAATAGGTCACCGTTGTCCAATAAAGAGTGGGCTTAGTTAACTGAGGAACTGAAAAGAGACTCACCAACCGCACAGTGGATTATCTGTAAAATTGAAAGGAGGGGTAGACAGAAGGAATTAGAATGTGAGTATTCAGAATTGACCTATGGCTGGAAAATCTCTGCTTAGCTGTATTCTTTTCAGAGATATTTTTTTTACATACACATGGAAATAACAAATTTAATCTGTACATGGATTTTGTATCAAGAATGAGTTTTAATATGGATAATACAAGCTATACAGTAACCATGGAGAAATTACTGCAGAAGTATGTTCACTTGCCAATTTTGGAATAGGGTTCTGGCAAGAAAAAGAGACTGGTTATCTAATTTACTTTAGGAATATTAATTTAAAAACAGCAGCAATAATGAAAGGTGATATAATAGCAGGCTGTCCTTTTTTCTTACCTTAGCCAAAATGCATCCAATTTAGATTATACAGATTACTGGTTATGGCACTTTTGACCAGCCTGGCATCTTCCTTATGACTTGAAGTTAATTACTCAAATTAGGTAATTATAATGTAATACAAATGGATCGGAAGAGATGAGTTATTATGTCCCACAGTTATAAGTGAATAAAACGACATAACCTTACTTGTTGGCATAGTGCTTACTACCGGTGCTACTTGGTGTAAAATAGTGTCATTTGTCTATAATTTAATTCATTGTTTCTCTCTCCCTCTCACTTTTTCATAGTTATGATTAACATGCATCCCCAACTCAGCCATGACATTTATTATTGTATATCCATTTTCTCTATTGTCGCTAATAAGTGGGGGGAGGGGAGGCATGATTACAAATTGAAAAAAATAAGCAAATAATTATATGGCACTAGAGTTCAATATCTAATTAACCAATCCTATGATCTGTAAAATTATGAAGTTTAACATCTTGGGAAAACAAACATGAAAATAAATCTTAATTAAAAATAACAAAATTGGATAAATTATATAGACACAAGGAACATAGAATGAATGATACTTCCAGCATATCCCACTAATTCTCGCCAATGGTCAAGCTGGTTGTAGTTCATGGGAAGAAGTCCAAAGAATTTGGATGGTGATATGTCTTATTCATGTCTTAATGTAAAATCCACTCTGGACAACTAGGAAATTGTGGAAACTGAGCTTCAAATGCAGGCTACAGGAGGTTATTACATATGATTTGTCTGGCACCTACATTCAAAGAGGCTTTAGAGCAGGGGTGTCAAACTCAATTTCATTGAGGGCCGCATCAGGGCTGTGGTTGACCTCCAGGGGCTGGGTGGGCATGGCCGACTGGATCAGTGTGGCCAACTGGATGGGTGTGGCCATCTTGACGCCACTCCCCAAACTGCTGGCACATTTCCACTTCGCACTGGGTAGACCAGGCCAAAGCGATGTGGGCCGGCCCCTTACATTTTCCAACATGGTCCCTTGGGCCAGATCGTACCACATTGCAGGCCAGATACGGTCAACAGGCCTTGTGTTTGACACCCCTGCTTTAGAGGATTACAGTTAGGATTAGGATTCTCTATTGTGGAGAATTCTATTTATAACATTTTTATTCTGCTTTGTCTCACAAGACAACTTAGTTGAAGCTTTCCCCTAAGTTTATCCCAAAAGCAGCATCCCAATGAAAGAATCTGAGCTGAAAGTGATTGTCCCAAAGCCACCTAATGAGTTCCAGGGGTGAGTTGAGACATAAGCATGGGTTTCTATATTTCTTAACAACTGCCTTATGAGCATTAATGTGTGATGTGCTTTACTTTCTTCCAATCAGTGCATATCATTGGGATTTATGATTATAAATACAAATTCTCAGGATATCAGAGCACATTAAGACTTTCCCTATATTACTGCAAGTAAGTGTGAATGGATTGTAGGTACACTCAATAGATAAGAACATATTAAGGAATCTTTTTTTTAAAAAAAAAAACCTGGAAACAGATATTAAACTACTCAGAGACTGATTGACACGGAATGACATCATACCGGATAACAGCCAGCATAATGAGAGAGGGCTGGGTATCTGGAAATACAGAAGCCCAACAATGCAGATCTTCGTGATCCTTCAGGAATTTATGAACAAGTTTCAGATGTATCACAAAACAGTGGTAGTCTTTGCTTAATGACCAGTTGCTTAGCAATTGTTCGAAGTTAAGACAGATCTCCCAGAGTTATTTATGACTTGTTTTCAAATGTCAGTTGACAGCTGCACCTATCGCTCAGTCTCTTGACCATGATTTTTGGGTTTTTTGCTGGTTTCTGGCATTTGTTTCAGTCTCCAGCAAAAAAAAAAATCTATTGGGGAAAACAGACTTATTTAATGACACTGGTGTTCACTTAGATTTCATGATGTTTACTTAATGACCACTACAAAAAAGATTGTAAAACTGAATATGGTCACAGCTTACAATCATCATTCCAGGCTCAATTACAGTCATTAGTAACTGAGAACTACCCATATACTAACTGAATTAATTTAGACTACATTGCAATCACCTGGAAAAGTTCTAAATGAGCACACCGAGTTACTATCAAATTTGCAGCATTAAAGTCTGTAAGCTGAAATGTTCACATAGCACTTTCATCTGGGAAGTCTATGAATTATAATAATTTGATCTCGACATCTCACAAAATAACTATTACAGTGGCATATATTTTATCAGTGACAGGTGAGTACAGTTCTTATCTGAAAGCACCAATTCATCTAATGCAGCTCCAGTGTCTTCTAGCAACTTCTAGGGCTTTTCATTTTAAAAAAAAGGTCTTGGTCTGGAAAACAATCTCAAAGAGGAACTCTGGAAAATTAACTCTCAACTCTGGCTCTAACTCCTTTTTTTCATAATTGAACACTTAATAAGGTGTCACAGAACAATTTGCAAAGGACATTCTGAAAGCTATAGTTGACACCTCAGAATATATCTGTAAGATATATTTACTAAAAACTTACCTCAAGCAAAGCAAAAGTCTGGAAAAATTTAAGTGTCTTTTGAATGCTTTTATATAAGCCTTTGTATGTTCCTTTGTCCATATAGAAACGGGCCATGGCAATAGCCAGTACAAGCCACCTAAACAAAAAAAACAATATCCTTAATGGAATAATGAACAGTTAAAAGTATTTTCATGTTTTCCCATATCAGTTATGTATCTCTTACATCATCTCTTGGGCACTGTCATTCATCTGTATTTTTGTATTTATAACTAAGTGAAAGTGTTTTTACACAGATAGAAATTCCAAAGTACTGGAAAGAAAGGAGATCAAGTTTACTCTGCAGTAAGACAAGAACATTTCAGATGATTCCTTTCTCTAATCTCATCTATTATTCATGGTCCAACTGAATTTATTTTATTTCTTTTATTTACACATTTTGTACCACTAATTTCTGGTAATTTACAGTTATGCAAAATCCATAAATCATGAACAATCAGAAACAAGAGTATATTTTGGTAACACTAGTAACAAGAGCAATTTCTATGTTTTTCAACAGTCAACAGCTGTTCAGAACAGCTGAATTTTAACTGCCCATTACAAAAATGTAATGGAAGCCACCATGCAAATTTCTGGAGCAAATAATTCTATTAAGATAAACTGGGCCCTTACTAGATAGGTGCATTAATATGCAGCAAATTGGGAAGTTGTTTTTTATTTTCTACACAAAGCATTCACTTATGATTCCAAAATTCTGGAAAGTATCTACTATGCAGCAAAATGAAGGAAGATACACAAGCAAAAACTGATAACCACAAGTCTTTTTAAAGCAATTTTCTTAGTCAAAGGAATGGTAGTAGGAATAGTTCAAGAGACTGTTCTTCCCAGCACTGGGAGGAAAGAAGCTAAATTCTGCTTTTGATATATTATTTGTGATTATTGTTATACAGTATAAGGAAGAAAAGTTTTCCATTATCTTATTCCAAACTTTTTCAAGCTCTCTGTTTTTAAAAAGCTTTCATAAACCTTGGTAAAAATTTAATAAATAATAAAGTACCTGTTTTGGATTGGTTATGATGGACAATGTGCTATCAAATAACAATTACTCAGACTTCACAGCTAGACCTTCTCCAGGATGAATGTGATTGAGTAAATAAATAAAACAAATCTTAAGCCCCCCTCTAGGTAGTGAGGTCTGAACATATCTTTTAAAACATATTTAAAAAACCAGCTGCCACCAGTTTGGCAGATCGAATCTCACCAGGCTCAAGGTTGACTGAGCCTTCCATCCGTCCGAGGTCGGTAAAATGAGGACCCAGATTATTGGGGGCAATATGCTGACTCTGTAAACCGCTTAGAGAGGGCTGTAAAGCACTATGAAGCGGGATATAAGTGCTATTGCTATTTATTAACCAGGAATAGAAGCTCTTCCTAACATGTCCAACCTAATAAGGTTTTACAAGGCACCAAGTTATAGATTGTTTTAACAACTGTTTGCTGAATAAGAATATCCGACTGCTTATAAATAGCAAATATAAACAATTTATACATAGTAGAAAGACACATCTTCTGTGAATCAGTTTGATTAAGGCACCAGATTAGAAAGTAGAAGACCATAACTTCATGTCCTGCCTTAGCCATGAAAGCTAATCATGGACTAGTTACTTTCTCTCAACTCAACCCACCGCACAGGATTGCTGTTTTGGGGAAAATAGGAGGAAGAAGGTGTGTTGGATATGTTTGCTGCCTTGAGTTACTTCTAAAAATGATAAAGATATATACATACATACATATACATATATATATATATATATATATATATATATATATACATATACATATACATACATACATATATATGTTTTCTGAGGTTTTCGCGGGTATTTGTATGTAGGTCTTTGGTTATTCGGGTTTTCTCCCGCATAAAATTGGAAGTACTTGGCGACGTTTCGACGAAGTCTCATGCGTCATCTTCAGGCTGGTGTCTTCGGCCTGTCGCCAAGTACTTCCAATTTTACGCGGGTCTTCTCCCATGTAAGATTGAGAGCACTTAGGCAACGTTTCAACAGAATCTCATCTGCCATCATCAGGCTTATGCAAGGGGTCTTCTGCAGCAACTGCCGTTACTATTTCAAATCTGGTGCTGTTAGTCTGCTTTGCTGGGATGACCCCACTTCTTTGTTCTGATTGGTAGGGAGTCCCAGTCTGTGTCTATTGGCTTGGCTTCAGGTGTATGGTCGGTTTTTCTCCACCAGGTGGCAGGGCTTCATCTTTGTGACTGGCTGGAATGTGATTTGGCTGGAGGTCTCGGGGCGTGTGTGTCTGGCTTCTGGGGTGTAGATTTTTCTGTCTGTGGGTGCTGGGACTCGTTTGTTGACAAGGGCTAGTTTCCAGATGTCTGGTATTTCAATGGCTTGAAATAGAAAAACACCCCCATAACATGAATAAATGTGAGATATCTCCCGCCTACCAGACATCTGGAAACTAGCCCTTCTCAACAAACGAGTCCCAGCACCCACAGACAGAAAAATCTACACCCCAGAAGCCAGACACACACACCCTGAGACCTCCAGCCAAATCACATTCCAGCCAGTCACAAAGATGAAGCCCTGCCACCTGGTGGAGAAAAACCGACCATACACCCGAAGCCAAGCCAATAGACACAGACTGGGACTCCCTACCAATCAGAACAAAGAGATGGGGTCATCCCAGCAAAGCAGACTAACAGCACCAGATTTGAAATAGTAACGGCAGTTGCTGCAGAAGACCCCTTGCATAAGCCTGATGATGGCAGATGAGATTCTGCCAAAACATTGCCTAAGTGCTCTCAATCTTACAAGGGAGAAGACCCGAATACACCAAGACTTGCATATATAAAATTTATACTTTATATTCAAATTTATACAAAGTAAAACACTTCTCATTTTTCAATAGAAAAACACTTAATCTCTCCCCTGGCTCAAGCTGATGAAGGGAGAACTTGTGGCTCAGTGGTTAATGCAACTGCCTAACATGCAGGCAGCCCAAGTTTGAATCCAAATAAGGGTATGGATAGCTGATGAGAGCTAAATAGATTGAAATAGATCTATACTGCAATGCTCTCTACATGGGGCTCCCCTTGGGATGCACCCGGAGGCTGCAGTTGGTCCAGAACGCGGCCGCGCGGGGGATTATGGGAGCGACGGGGCGCTCACATATAACACCTCACTTGCGCGAGCTACACTGGCTTCCTGTGGTCTTCTGGGTGCGCTTCAAGGTGTTGGTGACCACCTTTAAAGCGCTCCATGGCTTAGGGCCGGGGTATTTGCGAGACCGCCTTCTGCCGCCGATAGCCTCCCACCGACCGGTTCGCTCACACAGAGAGGGCCTCCTCAGGGTGCCATTGGCCAGGCAGTGCCGGCTGGTGACCCCCAGGGGGAGAGCCTTCTCTGTGGCAGCACCTGACCTCTGGAATGACCTGCCCCCTGAGATACGCAAGATATCAGACCTCCGGACTTTTTGTCGGGCCGTGAAGACACACTTGTTCCATCTAGCTGGGCTGGCTTGATCCCATCCTCTCAGTTTTGTAATCGAATTTCGGTTTTAGTTGGATTGTTTTAAATTCGGGCCAAAATTATCTAATTGTTTTTTTAAATGTTTTTAAATTTTATACGCTATGTTTTATCCTGGCTGAGTCCCGCAGGAGAAGGGCGGTATAGAAATATAATAAAATAAAATAATAAATAAATAAATAATATACTAGTCTCCCTTTATTTCTTTATCAGCGAAATATAAATTTGGTATAAAATGGTTTGTCGTGAATGTGACTGCTTGAGGGCTCCTGTATTGGAGCTGAAAGGCAAAAGGGAAGCAGTATGCTCCATCCCACATTATATTATATTATATTATATTATATTATATTATATTATATTATATTATATATTATATTATATTATATTATATTATATTATATTATATTATATTATTATATTATAATTTATTTATTTATTTATTTATTTATTTATTTATTTATTATTTTATATACCGCCCTTCTCCCAAAGGACTAGGAGCGGTGAACAGATAAAATACAGAAAATACAAAAATTAAAACAATATTAAAAACCAATTAAATTAATTTGGGCCACAGTTAAAACACCCCCATATTAAAAAACCCATAATTTAGCAACTTAAAATTAAAGCAACTTAAAAAATATGGTCAGGTCAGCCCTGCTTGACAAAACAAAAATGTTTTTAAGGCACGGCGGAAAGTGCACAGATCCGGGATCCGCCGTATCTCCGGGGGCAACTCGTTCCAGAGGGTCAGTGCCCCCACAGAGAAGGCTCTCCCCCTGGGGGCTGCCAGCCGACATTGTTTGGCCGATGGAACCCTGAGGATCCCCTCTCTGTGGGAGCGTACTGGTCGGTGGGAGGCTACTAGCGGCAGAAAGCAGTCTTGTAAATACCTGGGCCCTAAGCCATGGAGCGCTCTAAAGGTGATAACCAATACCTTGAAGCGCACCCAGAAGACCACTGGGAGCCAGTGCAGCTTGTGCAGGAGAGGTGTTACATGGGAGCGCCGAGTTGCCCCCATCACCACCCATGCGGCTGCATTCTGGACCAGTTGAAGCCTCCGGGTGTTCCTCAAGGGGAGCCCCATGTAAAGAGCATTACAGTAGTCCAAGCAGGACGTGACGAGGGCATGAGTGACTGTGCGTAAGGCATCCTGATCCAGAAAGGGACGCAACTGGTGGATCAGGCGAACCTGATAAAAAGCCCCCCTGGCCCCAGCCATCATATGCTCTTCCAAAGACAGCCGTGTATCCAGGAGGACACCCTAGTTGCGAGCCCTCTCTGTGGGGGCCAATGACTCACCCCCAAAAGTCAGCGATGGTACCAACTGACTATATCGGGATGCCGGAAGCCACAGCCACTTGGTCTTGGATCGGTTGAGCCTGAGCCTGTTTCTCCCCATCCAGATCTGCACAGCCTCCAGGCACCGGGACATCACATCAAGGGCATCGTTGGGATGGTCCGGGGTGGAGATGTACAGCTGAGTATCATCAGCGTACAGATGACACTTCACCCCAAAACCACGGATGATCTCACCCAGCAGCTTCACATAAATGTTGAATAGAAGGGGCAAGAGAACTGACCCTTGTGGCACCCCACACACAAGGTGCCTCGAGGTTGATCTCTGCTCCCCTGTCAACACAAACTGTGACCAGTCAGAGAGGAAGAAGGAGAACCACAGCAACACGGTGCCCCCTACTCCTAACCCCTCCAACCGGTGCAGCATACCATGGTCGACAGTATCAAAAGCCGCTGAGAGGTCTAATAGGACCAGGACAGAGGAACAACCCCTGTCCTGAGCCCTCCAGAGATCATCCACCAACGTGACCAATGCTGTTTCCGTGCTGTGCCTAGGCCTGAAACCCAACTGGAACGGATCTAGATAAACCATTTCCTCCAGGAACCGGGGAAACTGTCGCGCCACCACACTCTCAACAACCTTCGCCACAAAGTGAAGGTTGGAGACAGGACGATAATTTGCTGGGTCCAGGGAAGGCTTCTTAAGGAGGGGCCTCACTACTGCCTCCTTCAAGGTGGCGGGGAAGTTATCCTCACTCAGAGAAGCATTGATAATCCCCTGGAGCCAGCCTCGTGTAAACTCCCGGGAGGCCAGTACCAACCAGGAGGGACACAGGTCCAGTAAACATGTGGCCGCGCTAAGCCTGCCCAGAATCCTGTCCACGTCCTCGGGAGCCACAGAGTCAAACGCCTCCCAAATGATATTCTCAAGGCCCACCTCCATCACCCCGCCTGAAACTACCCAGTCAGAGTCCAATCCTTCCCGAATCTGAGCGATTTTGTCATACAGATATTGCACAAAGTCCTCAGCTCTTCCGTATAAGGGATCGTCCCTCGCTCCCTGATGGAGTAGGGAGCGGGTCATCCTAAACAGAGTGGCTGGGCGATTATCTGATGATGCGATAAGAGCGGAGAAATACTGAGATTTCGCCGCTTTTATCGCCACTAGGTAGGTCTTAATATGAGACCTCACCAGTGTCTGGTCAGATTCGGATCGGCTGCCCCTCCAACTGCTCTCTAGGCGTCTTTTCCGGCGCTTCATTTCCCTGAGCTCCTCGGAGCACTAGGGAGCCACACGGGATCGGCACTGGGTGAGGCCGCAAAGGCACGATGCGATCCAAGGCTCCAGCGGCTGCCCTATCCCAGGCGGTTACCAGGTCCTCGGTCAAATCGTGAGCCAGAACCTCAGGAAATGGCCCAAGCTCCCTCTGGAATCCATCCGGATCCATCAGGCGCCTGGTGCGGAACCACCTAAATGGTTCTGCCTCCCTGTGGCAGGGGGCAGCAGTACAGAAATCCAGTCAGAGGAGCGAATGATCAGACCATGACAAGGGTTTGATGACTACATCCCCTATATCTAGATCATTCAGCCACTGACCTGAGACAAAAATCAGGTCCAGAGTGTGTCCACTGTGTGCGTCGGGCCATGAACTACCTGGGTCAGGTCCATAGCCGTCATGGAAGCCATGAACTCCCGAGCCGCTTCCAACATCTCGCCAACGGACGGCAAGTTAAAATCCCCCATAACCATGTCTGGGGGTATCCACCGCCACCCCGGCTATCACATCGAGCAGCTCGGGCAGGGCCGCTGCTATGTGGCAGGGAGCCAGGTACGCAGTCAGCAGGCCCATCTAAACTCCACGACCCCACTTCACAAGGAGGGACTCACATCTGGCTATCTGAGGAACAGTGGCCTCCCTCGGACTCAGATCTTCTTTAATAATAACCGCCACCCCACTGCCCCTACCCTGAGCCCTCAGTCAATGGAACGCGCAGAAACCTGGTGGACACAGTTCACCCCCCTCCTGTTCCAACCAGGTCTCTGTAACACCCGCCAGGTCCGCACCCCCCTCCTGTATGAGATCGCAAATGAGGGGGGCTTTATTTACCACGGACCTGGCATTGCACAGCATCAGCTGAAAACCCGGGCCCTGAGGATCTGGACTACCCAGGGAACAAGAGGAGCCTTGGGGGCCGGAGCGCGCAATCGCTTGAAGATAACGAGTGCGCACTCCCCGAACATGGCCCCCTGCTCCCGCCATATCTGCCCCTCCCATATCTGCCATATCTGCCCCTCCCAACCCTCCATAGTATGGACACTGCCCCCCTCCTTAATCCCGGACTGCACATCCCCTGTAACACCGTCCCTCGCCGGGCTAGTCCCAACCCCCCATAAATTATCCCTCCCAGAACCCCTTAAAATACTATCTAAAATCTTACTCAAGAACCCCCTCAACCCCCTTCTCGCACCAGGCCACCTCTCGGGGTTCCAAAACCCGTCATTAAGGTAGGCCCTCGATAGAGTGGAGGGCCAAACCTGCAAGAGGGGGGAATCTCGCAGTGCACATAGCTCCGCTGCCGAGTACATCCAATAAGACCAGAATGGGAAGGCAGTTTAGTAGGGTCCAACAGAGTCCTAGGACAGGTCTTCATATAAGTAGCAGCCCGGGCTCCCCTGCTCTCTCACAGCAGCGGAAGGAGTCGGTTTATACAGTCATTCAGAAGGAATATGACCCAGGAGCTCCTGGAAGCACGAAGCCGAGAACACCAGCCTGAAGATGACGAATGAGACTTCGTCGAAACGTTGCCAAGATATATGTGTGTGTGTGTGTGTGTGTGTGTGTGTGTGTGTGTGTGTAAGTTTTGGTGTATTTGGGTCTTTTCCCATGTAAGATTCAGAGTATCTTGGCAACGTTTCGACGAGGTCCCACTCGTCATCTTCAGGCTGGTGTCTTCGGCTTCATGCCTGTGCGAGCAAAGCGTGATCGGAGCTGCCGTCTCTATATAAATACTGGTGGGGAGGTGTGGGGTCCTGGCTTTGTTGCTGTGAGCGGGTTGGTTGCCTGTGTTGTTACATCTTGATTAATTGATGGAGTTGATGTTTGCAGATTAGTTGGCTGTTTCATAACATCCTGTGTGGGTGAGGTCCTTGATGTGTGCCCATTAATCTTTTGTGTTTTAACGACCTGGGTAATGGGCTGTGTGTTAACATCCTGAGTTCTAGTGTTGTGATATCCTGAGTTTTTTGATGTAATGTCCTGAGCAGATGGCTGTGATGCCACATCCCGGGCTTTGGTTTGGCTCCGAGTTTGAGGTCTTGCCATGTGTTCATGGCGTGTGTCAGTTTGCTTTGTGTGGGGATCGGAGGGGCGTGCAGCAGCTGTATACACACACACACACATATATATACACACATACATACCCTGTTCCCCAAAAATAAGACATCCCTGATAATAAGCCCAATTGGGCTTTTGAGTACATGTGCTAAAATAAGCCTCCCCCCAAAATAAGCCCGCCCCGAAAATATTTAAACGCAGAGCTGGAAATCAGGTAAGATGGCCAGAAGAGCCCCATCTTGCTCCACACGCCCTAAAATAATAAGACCTCCCCAAAAATAAGTCCACGCGCTTATTTTGTGGTTCAACAAAATATAAGACAGCGTCTTATTTTCGGGGAAACCATGGTATCAGTGGTGAAATTCAATTTTTATTTCTATCTATCTATCTATCTATCTATCTATCTATCTATCTATCTACGTGTGTGTGTGTGTGTACAGTTAATATTTCGGGTTTCTTCCCGTGTAATTGTGAACATATCCCTAAAAGGGTAGAAGCGACGTTTCGACAGAATCTCATCTGCGTTACAGCAAAAGACCCTTCACATAAGCCTGATATATATCAGTGGTGAAATTCAATTTTTTTTTACTACCGGTTCTGTGGGCGTGGCTTGTTGGTCGTGGCAGGGGAAGAATACTGCAAAATCTCCATTCCACCCCACTCTGGGGCCAGCCAGATTCCTAGTGGTCTCATAGATGTAATTTAGTGGTTAAAAGTATAGAAGTAGCTACATAGGAACAGAATCATAAATCACAAAGGTTGGATTCACTAATGTTTGTGATGGACTGTTGTAAGGGATAGATTCCCAGGAGGAAGAAGGTGCATTCCAGAAAAGAAAGAGGCAACTCAGTCCAGATACTACAGAGAGAGAGGACAGCTCTCTCTAATAAAGAGATATAGAATATCCTGCAGGTGGGTCCTTAGTCTGGCAAGAGTTTGTCTATACGTGTGAAACAAAGACCTTGGAAGAATTATGACCACTGCCATTCTTAGTTTTTGGTTTGATATGTTTGAAGAACATGAAGCATGCAAAAAGAAAAAAAAATGGGGGGGGGAATGAGGTTCTTTTTCAATCTTTTAAATAATCTGTAATAGTGAAAATATGCTCAGGCAAAAGCAGAGTTGATAATGGTAGCATGCCTTCTTTTTAGGAAAACGTTTTATTGTCATTTATATCTATTATGGGAGAAGGAGCATCTCTTAATTGAATATCCAGAAGAGTTTCAAAGTCCAAATCAGATCGGTAATGTAATGTATGCATTTAGCTAATTATTCAATACCTGATTATCAAACAAAGCATGGTGGTTAATAGAACCACTGTGTAAAGGCATGTTTCGTTTTAAACCCAGCTAAAGCAACACAACAGGCTAAGCTGAAAGCAAACAAAGTTATAACTTAAGTCCTCCTTTAAGGGGGTTCCCACAAGCCCATTAACCCTCTTGTCACCCTGGAGGTTTGGGGTTAAATGCTCCCTGATCCACCTAAGGCTAGGGTTACCTCGGCCATCTGGCCAGGGCAGGTGCTATCGAAGGAAGCCGGCTCAAGTTAGTGGGAGGGGACCGAGCGCCGACTGAACATGCTCTTATCTTCGGCGGCCACCGCAATAAATTATGCCGAGGGAAGCAGTCTGCCCCATTCCACAACCCCCGGCCGGCATTCCGGACTCGGGCTATACTTAACCTCTCCGGCGGGCTCGAGGGATGACGTGCTCGTCTTGCTGGAAGTCTGCACCGTATTAGGCAATGCAAGCAAGCCAGGGCTTATCCCCCCCAGTCGCCGCGCGCTGCCCCGCCAATGCAGCCCCCTTTCTCCGCTCGCCACAGTGCCCAGCAGGTGCAGCCCCGTCGGTAGTTCAGAGAGGAAGCCTTTTGACCTGGGACGGGGAGAAGGAAAAGTTCCATTTTCGACCCACCACCGGCTCCACCGGCAACACCCCGCTCACCCGGCAGTCATGGTGATGTTGTAGAAGATCAGCCAGGCTGTGGTCACCGAGCTGCGAGGCCGAAGCACTTTCTTGCCATTCTCCTTCTCTTCCACCGACCCGTTGCCGGCGCCGCTGTCCTCTTCGTTGGACGCCATGGTCTCTTCCCCCGAGGCCAGGCGCAGACAGATCGAGGCACGCCGCGTCCGCGAAAGGGACGGAGGGGAGGAGCAGAGCAGGCGGGACGGGGCGCAGGCGGGGCGGCCAGCAGGACAGGATTTAGGCACTTGGGCGGCGGTTTAGTGGGGGCGAGGGCGACTGCCTCCGCCTACCTTTCCTTTCCTGCTCAAGGTGCCTCCCACTCACAACTTTGTGTTGGGTTCATGTCGGCAAAGGAGTTGTCACTTGCCGGGGGCGGGTAAGGAGGGGAGAGGGCTTTGCTTGTCCTACGAAGGGTGATTTTCAAGGATAGCCAAATGAACATACTCCATCCCAGATATATTCGGAGTCGGACCTCCTTCCTCATTGTTTACACAATAATAATAATGGGAAGTGCAAAATCTTCTAATAGGAACGAGACTTCCCCAACCTGTCGCTGTCTAGGTGGATTGCACTACATCACCTCTTGAGTTTTTTTCCAATTCCGAAAGAAGCCTTTGGGTTTGCAAGTCGTGGTTCAGCACACTTGGAAGGCTTCAGACAGGATTCTTCTGCAAGGCAGTTTGCACATTTCAAGAAGTCACAATTCTCCTTATTTAGAGAAAGAAAAATGGGTGCAGTAATTACTTACATATTTAAGGATTTCTGCTAGGCTGAAAAGAAGGCTGGTTTATGTGTATTTCTGGTTCCTTTCTGATTACTCTTAACTACACGATTATAACCAGGCAGTTTCATGGGTTTTTTGGAGAGCAAAATGGAACTTCCAAATCAAAGGTAGCAGACCTCTGTGGGTAAACAATATATTGCAGTAACATACATATTCTGGATACATTCCAGGAAAGCTTGCTTCTTCCTTAAGGCATCACTAAACTGATGGATGCAAAATCACTAAATGAACAGTGCAAAGAAATAGAAGAAAACAATAGAATAGGAAGGACCAGAGATCTTTTCAAGAAAATTGATAGATATGAAGGGAAGGTTTCATGCAAAGATGGGCATGATAAAGGACCAAAATGGCAGGGACCTAACAGAGGCAGAAGTGATTAAAGTGGCAAAATTACATAGAAGAGCTATATAAGAACAAGCTTAACGTCCCTGATAACCATGATGGGGTGGTCACTGACCTTGAGCCAGACATCCTAGAATGTGAAGTCAAATGGGCCTTAGAAAATCTGAAGAACAACAAAACTAGTGGAGGTGACAGTATTCCAGCGGAGCTATTCAAAATCTTAAAAGACGATCCAGTAAAAGTGCTACACTCAATTTGCCAGCAAATTTGGAAAACTCAACAGTGGCCACAGGTTTAGAAAAGGTCAGTTTACATTCCAATTCCAAAAAAGGGCAATGCTAAAGAATGTTCAAACTATCGCACTATTGCACTCATTTCACATACTAGTAAGGTTATGCTTAAAATCTTACAAGCTAGGCTCCAGCAGTATGTGGATCGAGAACTACCAGAAGTACAGGCAGGATTTCGAAGAGGCAGAGGAACTAGAGATCAAATTGCCAACATACGCTGGATCATGGAGAAAGCTAGGGAGTTCCAGAAAAATATCTACTTCTGCTTCATTGACTATGCTAAAGCCTTTGATTGTGTGGATCATAACAAATTGTGGCAAGTTCTTAAAGAGATGGGAGTACCAAACCATCTTATTTGTCTCACATATGTGGGTCAAGAAGCAACAATGAGAACTGGACACAGAACCATTGATTAGTTCAAAAGTGGGAAAGGAGTCCGGCAAGGCTGCATACTGTTGCCCTGCCTATTTTAACTTATATGCAGAGCACATCATGAGAAAGGCGGGGCTAGATGAATCAAAAATTGGAATTAAGATTGCCTGGAGAAATATCAACAACCTCAGATATGCAGATGATACCACTTTAATGGCAGAAAGTGAAGAGGAACTAAAGAGCTTCTTGATGCAAGTGAAGAAGGAGAGTGCAAAAGTTGGCTTGAAACTCAAAATTAAGTAAACTAAAATCATGGCATCCAGCCCTCTCAATTCCTGGCAAATAAATGGGGAAGAAATGGAGGTAGTGACAGATTTTATTTTCCTGGGCTCCAAGATCACCGCAGATGGGGACTGCAGCCAAGAAATTAAAAGACGCTCCTGGGGATAAAAGTTATGGCAAATCTAGACAGCATACTAAAAAGCAGAGACATCATCCTGCCAACAAAAGTGTGGCTATTCAACCATAGCCAAGGCTATGGTTTTTCCAGTTGCAATGTATGGCTGTGAAAGTTGGACCATAAGAAAGGCTGAGCGCCAAAGAATTGAGGCCTTTGAGTTATGGTGCTGGAGAAGACTCCTGCGAGTTCCTTGGACTACAAGGCGATCAAACCGGTCAGTCCTAGAGGAGATCAACCCTGTCTGTTCTTTAGAAGGCCAGATCCTGAAGATAAAACTCAAATACTTTGGCCACCTAATGAGAAGGAAGGACTCGCTGGAGAAGAGCCTAATGCTGGGAAAGATTGAGGGCAAAAGAAGAACGGAATAACAAAGAACGAGGTAGCTGGATGGAGTCACCGAAGCAGTAAGCGTGAGCTTAAATGGACTCCAGAGGATGGTAGAGGACAGGAAAGCCTGGAGGAATATTGTCCATGGGATGGGTCGGACACGACTTTGCAACTAACAACAACAAACTGTTGGGAGGTTTGCTAATTTGACATGATTCAGCAGACTTTCTCTTTGTAACACAGTGTTTTCTTTTGAAAATGAGAATGAATGCATTGGCATGCATGTCTGAGATAGTTACTCTCATTTTTAAAGATATTGTCATAATGTAGACTACCTCATTCTCAATCCACCATGGGAACACTTTATGTTCCTTTTATGATGTCAGTTTTCAGGTAATGTATTTCTTCTTTTAGAAAATGGGTAGACCTGTATTCAGAACTAACTTGAGTGACAGGTTAATGGTTGAATATCTTCATGTTAGTTACCTGTCTGTTGAATATTTTGAAAGATGGCCAAACCCTCAAACCAGGCATTTACCCATAATTCCCCAAGCCTTCCCACCATATTTTAAGGAGAACAACTGACAACTACTTTTCCAACTGGGTGAATATGTAGAATGGGAAAGGAAATGAAGACTGGGAAAAACTACCAATTACTCTTTTTAAATTGTTTCATAGGAAATCTATGCAGACAGATTCAGAGGAAGGTGAAAATTTGGCTGTAGCAGCTATGCAAATTATGCTGGTACAGGTAGTTTTCACTTTGATTATTCTTTTAATAACTGCTCAGAGTTACAATGGTATTAAAAAAGTGACCCATGATTGTCCCAAAGGTGCTTTTTTCAGGAGGCAACTGGATTTTCTTGTTTTTTCTTTGAAGATGCTTCTCATCGAAGAAGCTTCTTCAGCTCTGACAGGATAGTGGGGAATGGAAGGATTTATACTCCTTGCAGATAGCTGGTCATTTACATCCTGTCAGAGTTGAAGAAGCTTCTTGGTTGAGAATCGAAACGTCTTCAAAGAAAAAACAAGAAAGTCCAGTTGCCTCCTGAAAAAAGCACATTTGGGACAACCATGACCTGGATGACTGAAAATCTCTACAGATATTTAGCTTTGGGATGAACATCCTTTGAATGGTGTGGGAGTAGGGATGGAGGAACCAGGAGCACTACTCAGGTGACCTTGAGGACACCTCCAAGATAAACCTCCAAGTGCTTCAACAACCCTCTAAAAGGGTGCAAATGACCAGCTGTCTGTAAGGAATATAAATCCTTCCATTCCCCACTATCCTGTCAGAGCTGAAGAAGAAGTGAAATGTCTTCAAAGGAAAAAACAAGGAAGCCCAGTTGCCTCCTGAAAAAAAAGCACCTTTAGAACAACCATGACTGGATGACTGAGAATCTCTACAGACTTTTGACCCATGATTAGCTCTTGCACTTATGACCATCACAGCATCCTCATGGTCACATAATCAAAATTCAGGTACTTGGCAATCAGCAAATGGTTATGACACTTGCAGCATCCCAGGATCGTGTGATTGCCATTTGCGACCTTTTGACAAGCAAAACCAATGGGGTAGGCCAGTTTGCTTAATGGCTATATGAGTCACTTAACTATCAAAAGGAAAAAAGTCATAAAATCAAACAGAAGTTACTTAACAACACATCATTTTGCAAAGGAAGTTCAGGTCCCAAGGCCTACCTGTATACTTTTCTGCTGGTTTAAGGATGGGAGGAGGAATGTACGTTAACATGACTGAGGAAGAACACTTAAACAAACTAAAAAAAAAATAGATTCAGCAGAGAACTCCAAACAGCTGTTCTGCTCTGCAAAATAAAGTTCATAAATATGCAGAGAGCCCAACTGAGATTATGAAATACCTTAGTCAGTTTTAAGTCAATCACTTCTAGGCTGAATAATCACGTTACCTAGATGTTAAAGAGATTTCTTAGAACATGATAACTCTCATACTGATTAATATAAGAAAACATATTTGGATGTAACTTTTGTTTTTGGGATGGGATAAAATTTGTAAATAAGCTGGTGTTCATAAAGAACAAAGCATAACCATTTTCATTAGAACTACCATGGGAGATATGGAATTACATATCTTGAAAAACTGGTTTTTAGTTAAATCAGTAATTAAGTGTCCTAGAATGGCGTACAGTTTCAGTCTGTGATGAATGAAAATAAACTAGGATGCAGAATCCCTATTATATAATTATTAGTCTTTGGGTGAGAGATTACATGCAGCTTAATGGATGTGGGGTGCTGAGATTGGAGTTAATGAAATGACCATTTCAAAATGAGATGGAAAATAGAAATCACTTTGGAATTTTAAAAACATTGAAATAATATTTATTCATGTATTTGTGTAATGATAAATCTAGTCCTCTAAGCTTTTTCAGAATGCACATTGGTTTCTAAATTTTATATTTTCTTTCTTGATATTTATATTCTAGTATAATGAAAAATGTCAAAAGTGGGAAAACTCTGATTTAGGTCAATATATCAAACCAGGATTTATTAATCTGGACTTCTTAAGTATACTAATCCAATTCAAATAGATCTTTAGCCTTTTCTTTAAAAAGA